TTTTAAGTACGGAAAAAAATTTCTAAGATAAAAGTTACACAAAAATATGTGGCTGATGAAGATTGATTTAAACCAATAATATTTTGAGAAAAGGGGGGTCTAGGATAAAGGCCTACACCCAAAGTCTATAGTACCCCAAAAAAGCGGTAATCTAGATTTTTTATGTATTACGCAACACAAAAAGTTTGCTATAAAAACTTATGCATCATCTCATCACTCATCTCATCAAACGCGTAAAGAGAAAACATGCTAGAGAATACAGATGCCGAATGTTCTTGTCCATATGCTTTCGAAGGTAGATATTTTTTTAAGTAAAAATAGCGACTTTCCATATTTGCTTATTAATACTATTTTTTTTAGATATTAAAAAGTACTTTGAACTGGCCTCGAAACGTGACTTCGTTCCATCCCTTTCAGAATTTGTAAGGGAAAATTCTGATTTATTAGTTCGTTCCCCTCCAGAAGTAAACGATTTTAAAAGTTTAGATGGTGCATGGAAAAAGAGGTTCACCACAGTTGCAAAAATACTTAATATAGAGGAAAGTATCAGTGTTTTTAGTTTTTCCGCATTTATGGCATCCCAGTCAGGTTTCGCCCTGGTACTGTGGGTAGTTAGGTGTCGCCCTCGCCAGAGTGATGATGTGGGAAATCCCAGTCAGGTTTCGCCCTGGTACTGTGGGTAGTTAGGTGTCGCCCTCAGCCCCATCATTGCGATAATTGCAATTTCCTTTAACTTCATTGATGAATTACTGGTTACTTAGTTACTAGAGAAACTTGTACTAATTATTTTTAAATTCTAAATATATAGATTAATGTTGACACGCCCGATTGGAATATTATTATTGAAAAGAGATATAAGGTATGCTACAAGAATACTTTAGCGGTTGCTTTTATCAATTTCTTAATGATTAACATGACCAATATATGACAGGAACGAATCACAGTCCGACGTCGTGAAAAAACTTTCACTATGTACGAAAAAGAACATGAAATTATTGGGAATCAATTATCCAAAGACCAGGAAAACTATCTCGAAAATTATGAACCCAATAATCTAAAGGATGACGAATCAACAACAGCCAAGAGGAATGAAGAGAACCACAACAAGCATGCTATAGCTAGTGGTACGTTACAATAAATTGTTTGTGCTACACTTTCGCTACATTTCTGACACAATTATTCGAATTAGTATCAAATCTGACTAAAAACAAAATTACCGCACTAAGTAAACGACCAAACTCCGATGTAGATTCTGAAGATTTAAAAAACAACTCCTTCATTGTAACAGAAGAGCAGTTTGAAGCCCCCGGACTTATTGATTCTCCCATAATACCATCACCATACACCGGTACCAATGTGGATTTGGTTCTGGAAAAGTCACAGGCTACTGAACATCAAGTCCACCCGCCCGAATATACCGAAAACCCATCAGAAAAGACTATGCGTGATGGATACTCCACAACTCCAAAACAATATGAAATCGACATCGAGGTATCATTCTTCAGTCTAGTTCTGTACTCTTGTTCTCTTGTTAATGGATTATCTGAATAATTTCGTTTATAATAATTTAAAAAGGATGACGATAATGTTGGAAACACATCAAAAAGAAAAACAAATGAAGATGACAATGATGACGAATTACTTGAAAATGCCAGATTTCTATTCAACGAATTGAATGAAGAATCATTAATCGATAAGGTTGATGAGAATTCACTATTGGATGAGACTCGATTGCCATTAGGAAATATTAACGGTAGAACACCGGAGGTAAATCTTGGTATAACCGTTTTATATTTGTGTTTTATATTTGTGTATTTGACAAATTTATTATTTTTATTATCAATAGGAGTTCCTTAATACAAATTTAATCGAATCATTTAATAAATACCAAAAAAAAATACCGAAAACTCGCAAGATCCTAACGTAAGTTTAGAATCATCATTTTAACATGATCACTTCTCGCTTTTAATATACCGTACGTTTTATTAATTTTAGCCCTGCATATTGGGGAATATTGGATTTAACGAAAGAAAGTTTAAACAACTCCGGAATAAAAAATAAGGAGATTGAAAAATTATCACAGAATTTCTCCAATAAAATCGGATGGACTGACGATGTCCTTGCCTCCAATGAAGTTCAAAATATTTTGATAATAATTGCGAGAATGTTAATAAAAATGAGATGATTAAAGACCTGGATACTAATATCCAGTATATGTATGTACAGAGGGTGATCACGGGTTTCCGAACGATAAGTATTTTTGTTTTTTTTTCTTTGTTTACATCATCTACGCGT